AGAGTTCCTTTTTCTCCACATCCTCATCAACATTTGTTGTAGCTAGTTTTTTTAATATGTGCCATTCTCACTGGTGTAAGATGATATCTCATTATAGTTTTGGTTTGCATTTCCCTGATTACAAGTGATGTTGAACATTTTTTTATATGCCTGTTGGCCATTTGCATTTCCTCTTTGGAGAAAGTTTTTTCAATAAAGGGTGCTGGGAAAACTGGGTCTCTACATGCAAAAGATTGAAGCTTGACTACTACCTCACACCATGCACAAAAACCAACTCAAAATGGATTAAAGAACTAGACATAAGATCTGAAAGCATAAAATATATAGAAGGAAATATAGGTGAACACTACATGACATACACCTCAGTAACATCTTTAAAGACACATCACCCAAAACAGTGGTAGTGAAGGCAAAGATAAACAGCTGGGACTACATCAAATTAAAGAGCTTCTGTACAGCAAAAGAGACAGTAACCAAAACAAAGAGACACCCCACTGAGTGGGAGAAAATTTTTGCACACAACACTAATGATAAAGGGCTGATCACAAAAATCTACAAAGAGCTGATGAGACACAAGAAAAACAAAGTAAATAATGCAGTCAAAAAATGGGCAGAAGAGCTAAAAAAAACACAAATATTTTTTAAGCCCGTATTATGTACCAGGTACTGGGAGCACATAAATGGAATACATTGTATTTTTTCTAAAACTATGAAAAAATTTCAAATAATCAATGAGAAAAGATCTTTTCCATAATCATAGTAATATATAGACTCATAACAAATAAATAATTCATATAAATTTATAGGAAAAGTATGAAGATTCCATTAAATAAATGACAAAAAATATAAATTAACAATTCAAGCAAAGAAAAAATAAATGCTTCATAAATGTTTATTTAAAAAAAGTTTCCAACTCATTAAAAAAATCAAAGCATTGTAAATTAGAACACGTGATCATGTATAATTTACCAAATTCACAATGTAGGTAAGAGTGTAGGTAAGAGACAAGACATTCAAATACTGCTGCTGAGTATAAAATTCGTAGAAAAAAAATCTCAATGTACATTAAAAAATTATTTAAAGCATCACATCTTTAGACATATTAAGGAACCTATCCTTAAAAGATAATCAGAAATGCTGACAGGGAGTTACATGTAAAAATGTCCATGATAACATTGTTTTTCAAAAAGAATCAGGAAAGGGGCATAATCTAGCTTAAGAATAGGTGATGTTTAATTAAAAAAACACAACAAAACAAAACAAAAATAAACGGACAACTGTAAATCAGAGACATTCTGCAGGGGAGGAGGAGGAGAGCGATCAAAATAAGGGTGGGAAGAACACAAGGGCCTATGGTGATGGTGCACTGGTGAATTGTGGTGGAAATACTATGGGGACTACAACTGAGGAGAAAGCAAGCATTGTAAAAAAAAAAAGAAAGAAAGAAAGAAAGAAAAGATAAGAAAAAAGAAGAACAATGATGTAAAATATTTATAAATAAATAAGTTTTTAAAAAAGAATAAACGCTGTTTAGATGAATAACAGCACTTCTATGAAATAGAATGCTAATATTAGCTCATGTTAAAATGTTTGCCTGTTTCACATTAAATAGTTGATATTAAACATATTAAATGATGTTTACCATGACCTTTAATATCATGTGTTTGCAATTGAGTGAAAAGAGCAAAACACCAAATTGTGTAATCTCTAATACAAAAAAATAAAATGATTAAAAAGGAAGTATGTCAAATATTTTATCTAGGATTTAAAATAATGAGTTACTTGTTAAAATTTTCTTTCTATCCTAATTGTCTTTTATGAGTACCAAAATGTAGGATCAGAAATTAGGGAGATATATAATATGGCAATATTTTTAAAGAAAAATTATTAGGTATATCAATTATTTGTCTTACTAGCATAACAGTTTTACTCCTTCCTAATTGCTAGATATAATACTTTAAGTTACTATTTGGCCACCTATTTTGCCTAATTACCATAGATTCATTATATTAATATTCCCAACAAGTGACAAAGAAAAGGTGGGGGAAAAGCTTTCTCCAATGTCAGTAAAATAACATAAGCTCCAGGAAATTTATAACCCAAAATGACATTGCCAGACTGTATTTAAACCTGAGTATAGGGATTATTTTCCCTAAGAAGTCAGCAAAGTATTTTGTTCCTTTTAAAAGTGATTAAACAAAATTATATCAACCCTATTACTGTTAAGCATTACCTTGTAGACATTCATTTAATATGTTTTAGCAAAACTTCTGCCCTGGGAATATTTTCCTCTGTGACCCACAATTCATTCTTTGTCAATAACAGTACAGCAGTGGTCCACTCATTTCAGAGCAGAGAAAACTCACCAGGAAGTAAAAAAAAAAAAAAAAAAAAAAAAAAAACTCATCTTCCAGATGTTTTAAAACTTGTCAATACTAATTTCACATCACAAAGTGTATAGACTTGTGATTTCTTCTACTATTCACTATCCTGTCTAGGTAGAAGTTGATTCATTTCCTTTTTCACTGACATAACATTGTGCTATAACCTTATATAAGTTTCCTTATGTTTATCCTTTAAGCTCAACTTTTCCTGGTGAAAGACAGATACCGAATGGTCTCACTTATTTGTGGAATATGAATAACCAAAAAAAAAAACTTACAAAGCACAGTAATAATAATTCTTATACTCTGTGAAAAATATACTGCTTACCAGAGGGACTGGAGGGGCAGGGGAAAGCAGGAATGGCTCAGGGAAGGGAGGAGATAGGACACTGGCACAGGAGGCTTGGTGGAGGGTGAGTGAAGCATGTGCACATGTGGACATGTGAAAATTTTTCCCCAGAGTTATATAGATCTGTAAATGATAGACAAAGTAATAAAATTCGAGGGGGAAAAAAATCAAAATTTCTTTCTTTCAAAACAAGTCACTGTCACCATTTCAAACAAAAAAAGAAAACAATTCATTTGTAACTGAATAACTTCTTTCCATCTTGAACCTGTACATAAAAACATTTGCATCGGTTGGTAGAAAGAAAAATTGCCATGAGTGAGAACAGATAACTTCTAATAACCTATATTTATATTCTGCAACTTTAATCTATTGTTTTGGTAGCATTATACTCAATGTGTTTAGGGAAAGGAAAGTATTATCAGATATCACAAATGAGCAACTGGAAACCAAACTCTGCCAGACCTCTTGATGAATAAAAAGCCCTCCTCTTGGTTGAAATAAGAATGAAATTGACTGTGTCCATAGAAACATAGAAACACAGAGGCAGAATCATTGCTAAATTAATTCCAACATTTCCCAATCTAATTAGTTAATTAAGCCCTGTCTACCAGCAGTTAGCAGCTTCAGTTTTCCATCTTTTAGATTTGACCTAATAGCCCAGTTGGGAGGATACAGAACCACCAACAAATTTTACTTTCAGTCACACAACTCTTGCTTACACTCTTCTTTTGCATTTTCTGGCTCATGCTTCATTCTCTACAAACACTGATCACAGAACCTAAAGCAAGGTGCTTGACTGAGAGGAGTGTTGCCGCCATTCAAATCAGAAGGGGGACCTTCCCTATTTGCTTTCTGTGTTTGCTGAGAGTAGAACCGGGAGAGCAGTGGCTGGGTGCAACCAAGATAACGTTGAAATGTCCAGATGCACGAGTTTGTTCCCTGGAGATCACTATGGGTCAGATTTTTGGGGTGCGGGTATGTGTCAGGGCCTTGAAATTTGGATTTGGGAAGGTTTTGATTTAAATGTATCTGAATTCAGGGGCCAGACACATGACCCACAGGAAGGAGCAGTTCAACCAATTTGCTAATAAAATCATATCATGTAGACAAAAATCCAAAGGCTGATTTCCCACCATGTCTCTCCATTTTGTGATTATGTAATTACTGTTATTTTGAGCAATTATAGGGAAAATATTTCTGCAACACATAAAAGACAGTGTGGGAGACCTGACAGGACCAGATTTTCTGAAGTGTTCTAGTTTCCTCAGCACATATTACAGTAAGAAACTATGACCTTCAGAGGCTGAGCAGTTTGCCCCAAATCAGGCATCATCTTGCCCATTAGTGACAGCTTCAGGAGTCTGAAGTCACTCAGTGACCCAGTCAGGGCTTTTAGGCCAGCCTGCTCTAGTTCCTCCTCTGGCCTTTGTGGAACCTTCTGTGCCAGGCATGCATTTGTGTGTGGTTCTTGTGGCATGAGTGAAAGATTGAACAATGGAAGTCAACAGTATGCCTTGCTTCCTCAATCCAGCTCCTATACCTGTGGACCAAGTGCAAGCCTAGGACTTGGCTTTCTGTTCTCAAAAATGGGGACAACTCTACCTACCTGCCCTCTCCACCTGGAAACAGAAAAAGAGCACTGGACTAGAAGTGAGGGCCAAGCCCTACCTTGGTATTTTAAAAGCACTTGGCTAAGTTCCTTAGCCTATTTGTATCTCAATTGACTCACCAACCCCTCCCACCACAATATATGGGTGGGAGATAATACCTGCTCTAACCATTTCTGTAAGATCAACATGGAAATGTGTAAGTAAATGGAAAAATGTTAAAGTCTGATTTAAGACAGAGCTTCCAGAGGGCCATTTCAAGTGAGATAAGCCAAAGTGGTGACTAGGACCTAAAGGAAGGGCTGGTGGGCGGGACTTCCCAGCCCTGTTGGATATGTCTGCTTTTCCCCCAGAGGGTGGCAGTGGTCAGCGGAAAGTGTCCACTCAGGTGGCACTGCTCTCAAAACGGCTGGACCTGCACAGCTCAGCAGAACAAGTGCCTCTTGGGGCCTCTTCCCTAACTAATGAAAAAATAATGCCCTTGAGCCTAGAGTGAAACTGAACTATCTAAGGAAAACACTGTGAGCAAACACCAAGAGCTGAGGGAAACCATCTGATTAGGGCAGCAACCCTTCAGGAGCGCGCTAGGCCCACACCTTCCACAGGAGCAACGCGGCAGCTGGTTCTCAGGCGGCAGCCAGAGGGCCAAGGGCTAAGGCCATGTCCACCACCACATACCAAGTAGTGGGCTTCCTCCTGTCAGTCCTGGGCCTGGCGGGCTGCATCGCCGCCACGGGGATGGACATGTGGAGCACCCAGGACCTGTACGACAACCCGGTCACCTCAGTGTTCCAGTACGAGGGGCTCTGGCGGAGCTGCGTGAGGCAGAGCTCGGGGTTTACTGAGTGTCGACCCTATTTCACCATCTTAGGCCTTCCAGGTAGGCGCCCAGCGGCACCTTGCGGGGGCACAGCCAAGTGAGGGGCAAGGGGCTGTTGGCTCCCATTGTAGCCACAAGGGACCTCGAAACCACCACAGGGACTGAATCATGTCCCACCCCTGGGTGTGACTCTGGCAGTGTTGGCTGAGAACTAAAGGTGTGAATAAGAAAAGTCGGTCCGTGTCAAAGAAGGTGATAGTCTTATGAGAGAAAATCAGAATTCTTACTAAAGACAAAGGAAATGCTAGTAAGGAAACAGGTCTTGGGACTATTGTAAGGGTAAGCTTATGCTTCTACACTGTTCTGCATGGAGAAAATTAAGTGTATGCATGTATGTGCATGTGACATGTTCCTGCCTACACACACAGGGCTAGGGAAGTAGGATCGTGAATATTTTCTTACAGCTAAAAAAAGTTTTTTGAGAGCTAGTTTCCTTTCATTTTCAGTTAATTTTTTTTTCTGAATGGCTATAGTCTCTGTAGCTGCCAAAATTATTGTGCCATGAAGTTATAAATATCCTTGTTCTGTATATGTGTTAAGAAATTCTGATATGCACTCCAAAAAATCAATGTGTGTCAGAATATAATTGCAGAATTCAAATTATATATAATGATTTCAGAATATACATCATTATAAATGTGACATCTTTTCACATCTGAAGATGAAATAAGCTAAACTTCTATTTTTAATGCAGATAATTACTTCAAGCATGCATTATAGGGATGTTGTGTTTGGGTATTATGGAAGTTCTATTTTATTTTTTTTTTTAAGCAAAAAGAAAGTAATAAGTCAGGCAAATCGATGGTTCCAAGGAGTGGCCAAGAGGTGAGGGAGGAAAATGCTGTTGGGTTTGGTCTTTGCAACTAACACTTTGCAAATAGGTAACTGGAAATAAATTTGCATGAAACTGTTAAGACCTGTGAAGCCCTTGAAAGTGAGTTGTGAAAAGCCATTCAACTAATTGATCTTCAGAAAAAAATAGAAGATGGGTCAGAGTAAAAGAATTGGGTAATAGAGAGATAAGAGTATGGATTGTTGAGTTGCTAGTAACCTAAGTTTAACTACTAAATGGCTATTTAACTATTAAATTCATATTCAAAATTAAAGTATGACAATCCCATGACTTTATGTTCAATAACCTCCTCCAAGGACTTCACCATATGTTACCAATCTCTTTCTCATTCTGTTTCTTTCCACACATGGACAGCCAAACTTGTAAGTGGATAAATGCTAGGGCTGCCACTCTCACTTGTCTTTTCTAGTCTACCAAGGATCCCGTCCTCCCGGGGCCTCTCAAAATCTCTTCCCTTGACAGTGCTACAGTCTGCAGAACAAGACCCCCTCCCCTGCCCTGCCCAAGCCTGTGAAAAGCCACCTGGGCTCAGAAATTCCCACACCACCTCTCTGATCATCCTGCCCATCAGCCCCTCTCCTTCCCGCCCCTTTCATCTCACCTCCTCACTTATGCTCATGTCCTCCTTTCCTGGAAAATCTCTACATGCTGATAACTGCCAAGTTCTGTCTCTCCCTTGATCACCAACAACCAAATTAAAAGACTAAATTCTTCCACCATCTCTCACTCTAAACTTTTCTCAATTTGTTTTCTATCCTTCATCTCTATAGTGTTTGCTCCTTTGACTGTGGCAAAGGGTTGGGATGAAATTTCCCAATCACCAACTTCCAGCTCTCAATTGTCATCTCCCTAAATATTTCAAACCCCAACACCCTCCATGGTTCCATATTCCCAGCTTAATGAGCGCAGGCATGAGAGCCGGACACCCAGCCCTCCTGCAGCCCTCACTACCTTCCTTGACTTGTCTCTCACTGTTCTTCTGACCTTGACCTAGGTTCTCATTATCTGTTTATACTCAGAGCTTGATACCCATTGCCTCCACTGCACAAGTGCTCTCGTCTACCTCCCCAACAACTCTCTCTGCAAATCCTCCCATTTAATTGACTAGAATCCCAAAAATCTCTATACCATACACCAATGGCATTGAGCATATTCCCCAGTCATGACACTGCTCACAAATCTGAAACAGCATTCATTGTATATCCGCAGAGTGCAAACACAATACTGACCTTGTCAGCATCTGTGAACACAACAGAAGGGCAGCCATGTGCATAAGTATCAAGACCAAGGCAGAGGCAGCACCAGCGGAGGCAATAGCTACTCAACGAGAAGAGTCAGAAGGAGCAGTATAGGGAAAGCTGCGTTAGTGGCTCTGTTTGAGACCAAACCTTTGCTCATTAACTTAGTTATTTTGTATATTTGTCTCCTCAGCTTCTGTATTGCAGGCCCTTCAGCTAGATAGGAATTCTTTTCTCAATTCCCAGCATAGCACAGAGTGAGCATTCAGCAAATGGTTGATAAACTAAGTTGAACTGAATAGTAAGAATATGTCATTTTTAGTGTTAATACAAGCCATTAAATACAGGTTAATGGTTTCCCCTAAATAGAATGGCAAATTGCCTTTGTATTACAGTTTTCTGCTCTTTTATACTATGTATAAAACCACGCCTGAAACATTTGTTTGTTCATCCAATCATGTATTTAGCAGATAACTTTTGCATGCCTTCTATGTTACGGGACTAGAGTTTTAAGGATTATTTTAATCACAGTATGTAATGTCAGCTGTGGCATCAGACAAGCCGAAAGATCTCAGTAACTTAACAAAACAATAATTACTCCTTGCCTACATCAAGTCCATTGTGGGAAAAGAGGCCACCTCCTGCTGCAACAGAGGAAAAAATATTTAGAAACATAACTTCCCTTAACACCCTCAGCCTAAAAGCACTGCATGGCACAGTCCTTTGGCCAGAGTAGCTGCATGGCCCTGGGAACAGGGCAATATAGGCCCATGTGGCTGTTTGATGGGCAGGTACAGGCTCTGCTACAGGCATCATTTAAAAGGCAACAACTGCTGGGCTACAGCATATCTGCCATGCTGACTTCAATTCTGCTCGGCAGACAATTCTTTGAACACCAGTCAAACCCAATGTGAGTGCAAAAGAATATATCTTACTGGCTAATATTCATTTCTGAGACAAATGTTATTGAATACCTCTATGTATGAAATATTATCTGATATAAGAATATACAGTGTGCCTTTCCAAAGTCAGACATTTTGCTGAGGGTAGCCTGAATGGAATTGGGAATTGAGGTGAGTTTCTGCAGTGCAAAAATTCCTTGGCACTTCATATCAGAGGAATGTAAACATGGGGAAAATATAATTTTTGCAAAAACTTTCTAAAAAAACAGGAGAAAGAGAGGAAAAGTAGGGAAAGGAAGAAGGGAGATGTGGTATTGTTAGATACTTTTATTCCATGTCAGACCAGAAAGAGAGATCTTAGAAAGGAAACCTAGTTGCCACTCAAAGAACTTTGAGATGTTCCTAATCTATAAGGGGTGGGGGTGAGGTGCTCTCTGAAAAAGATTCAAGGGCACAGTGAGCTGGGAGAAAGAACTTCAAGTCATGTCTTGAGGAATGTCTGATGCTCCAGGCAAGCACTTCATGCTTTTGGAAAGCATTATTCTTGTTTCTTAGCAAGCTTATGGCCTTGGGACCCCCAGCAGAGTCCACCAAAAGCCCTGAGGGGTTGGGGCAGGGGTAAGTGGCTGCTGTTACTGTGTTTTATTTCCCAGTCGGGCTGTGAAAACTCAAGCTGGCTGATTAGTCTGAGAACTAGGACAGCTACCCCAGCCACCACAAACGTACCCCAACCCTGCCCTTCAGGATCAAAGGAACCAGATTCCAGCAGAAGTCAGGAAAGATATTTCTTGGGGCTGAGTTTGCAGAAAAGGATTTGCTTTTAAACATTGATCACTTGTGACCACGGAGAACAGAGTGGATTTAAAAATAGTCAGTCCTCATTTGCCAGCATTGACTATAATGAAAATTGGCATCCTGAAATATAAATATTTGTTTGATGACTTGAGATTTGACCAACTGAAATAAGGGGTAGGCGGGAATTACCAGAAAGAAAAGGTTAAAATAAAACTCAAAAGTCAAAGACAGGAACATAAGGTGATGGAGCAGCCAGAGAGGAGACTAGAAGATAGTTTGTGGACAGTTGGGCTCCCAGGAGCCGGCAAGAGAACCAGCCAGGAACTAACACCTAGAAGGTACCAGCAGAAACAGCTACTAAAAGCAATTTCTTGACAGGGAACCAGAGGAAGAGAGACCTATAGCAGAGGAACTGGGTGAAATGACTAGAGATAAAAATGGAAAATTGCAGAGTTCAATTTTGACACAGACCCCAAAGGACTAACCCCTCCCGCAGAGAAATAAGCCTTAAAGTGCTACAAAGAAGCCGATACCATTATAAAACTTTAGCTAATAATCACGATTACTATCAATGATTCAATTTTTCTGACTATAAGCTCTTGCCTTGCAAAATCTCAGTTAACTTTTCATTCATCTAATAAAAATGAACCATGTTTGTTGGAAACATAGCCACAGAACAATTTCATTCCATTCAACTAACCTACTAAAGGGTAACGAGGTAAGTGGTGTAATAGCAGAACAGCTTACCTATATGTATTAGGAGCTCTGTATCCTTTCTAGACAGATTCCTTCACTGTATTCTGAACAGTTAATATAGCATGCAACTCTCCAAGGACAGTCCCCAGAAGTAAAAATAGCTACCATTTATTGGACTACACATAAACTTTCCAGTTTAAACTTCACACTAAATAGGGGGAAATTGGCTTTATTTTTACACAAAGTCGGAAGCTGACATTCAGAGACAGGGCGAGGTAACATACCCAAGCTCCTGAGGACAGAAAATGGGAAAAGCAGGATGGATAGGAACATGAGGTTGAAAGACTAACAAGTCTGTGTCCTTGTGGCTGCCCCATGCTTAGGCCCTGTGTCTATGTTCTGGCTAGAAGGGTCTGCCTTAAGAATCAGATTGGCTGGAGCTCAATTAGAGAAGAGGGCGCATCGGCACCTTGATCATTTATATCAATACACTAGCAACGACTTGATTAACAATTA